TAGACTAACCTGCAGGAAAGAAAAGTTTGTAGAAAATGAAGGTTAGGATGCTGAGAAAATTTCTGCTAATGGTTACTCACCAAGACTGACCCCCCCCATTAGACTCCATTCTTTTTTATGTATAACACATCTATTTTCATTACAAAAAATTAAAAATTACAAATAAATAGTTCTCATTTTTGTTCTACCCACTACCTCACTGGTGCTGTCAAGAAGGTGGTATTTATTATCCTAGTGCAGGTTTCCTACACAGTTTTATTTTTCATTATTCATAGACATTTGTTGGAGGAAGGCCACTTGTTGATTCCTGGCTGCTCAGCCCCCTAAATAATCACACAGAACTTATATTATTTAAATCACTTCTTGGCCCATTAGCTCTAGCTTCTTATTGGCTAACTCTTACATCTTAATTTAACCCATCTCCATTAATCTATGCATCACCATGAGGTCGTGGTCCACGAGCAAAGTTTCAGCATGTCTGTCTCTGGCGGCAGCTCCATGGCTTCTCCCTAACTCCATCCTCTTTCTCCCAGTTTTCAGCCTAGTTTTCCCTGCCTAGCTAGATTCTGCCTTGCTATAGGTCCAAAGCAGTTTCTTTATTAATCAATGGTAATCACAGCATACAGAGGGAAATCCCACATCAGACGTTATAAAAATTGTCACTGGAGTTGTCAGGAAACTATTCTTGCTGTTGATATGCTTGGCACAGCTTTACCCATTTGACCAGCTGAATAGTATTTTACTTGTCTTCTCCCAGTGCTGGGCACTTCAGTTAATCAAGTCCAGGAGGGTGCTTCTATGATATAGACTAGAAGTGGAACATTGTAGACTCCTTTATTATAACAAAAGGAGACAACCCTGACTCAAGCAGCATTTGGTCATCTCCACATCAAAGAACAGGTCTCTAAACAACTTCTCAAGGGAGTCAGCCCAGGGTCACAACCCTCAGTGCTCTACCATTAATTATCAGGAAAAGTGTGAATTGTCAGGAAGGCAAGATGAACCTGGGTGACAACTAGTGGGAAAGAACAACACTCATGTACTTAAGGAATAATTCTGGCAATGTCTTCGCTGTATAAATCTCCCATTTACCTAAGAGGCCAGACTTGCGGCCCCCGTCTTTGTTTAAACTGTTTAAAGTATAACCTGGGTCTGGGACCTGAAGGAGATTTAAGGTTGATAGTGTATGTGATGTTGTGGGATATTTGTACATTGTGTAAAGATGGGTTGTTGTGACTGGTTTAATAAAAAGCTAGTCAGGAGAGATTAGGAAGAAAGAGGAAATTAGGGGATGATTATAGGTGCAGGGAGAGATGCCAGAAAGACATGGAAGAAATTGGACATAAAAAAATAGAGGATAGGTTGTAAGACACATGGTAGAACGTAGATTAATAGAAGCCAGTTAATTTAAGGTTTTTTTTTTGTTGTTGTTGTTGTTATTGTTTGATTTTTTTGTTGTCGTTGTTTTTCGAGATAGAGTTTCTCTGTAGCTTTGGAGTCTGTCCTGGAACTAATTCTTGTACACCAGGCTGGTCTCGAACTCACAGAGATCCACCTGCCTCTGCCTCCCAAGTGCCGGGATTAAATGTGTGCTGTCACCACCACCCAACTAATTTAAGTTTTAAGAGCTAGTTGGGAGCTGGGCGGTGGTGCACACCTTTAATTCCAGCACTTGGGAGGCAGAGGCAGGTAGATCTCTGTGAGTTCGAGGCCAGCCTGGTCTACAAAGCAAGTTCCAGGATATTCAGAGATACACAGAGAAACCCTGTCTCTAAAAACTGAAACCTAACTCGCCCCCCCCCCCAAAAGATAGTTAGGAACAAGTCTAATATAAAGAGCGAACTCTTATAGTTAACAATAAATCTTCATGTCATTATTTGGGGGCTGGCAGTTCCAGAAGAAAGTCAGACAAGAAAGTCTGTCTACTGTATGAAATGCATAAACCTTATGTGTGTCTCAGTTAGTAAAACCTACCACTTGTGGCTGACTTTTCTGTGGGCATTAGCCAGAGATGGACATGCACTACATTATAGAAATATTTCCTCTTTTAAAAAAAATCTCAAAGTTTGTGGATTATTTCTCACTGAGAAGGCATATTTTTCAGAAAAAAAACTTTAATTTTGATGAAGTTGTTTATCTGTTGTTTGTCTTTTGTTGCTGGTGTTTGGGGCATTGTATCTTAGAGATCATTGCTCTATCATAGTCACAAATAGCTACACCAATGTTTTCTCTCAAGGGTTTTATAACTTGAGTTTCTAGGTTCTGGACTCTGAGCTCCTTTGAGTCTGGAGGGAGGCAGGGGCCACACTGATGCTTCTGCACGTGGGTGTCTAGGTTGTTGGGACCCTGTGGGGGAAGGCACGTCACCACTGACTCATCTTTGCAGTTATTTTGTGGACGATCAACTTGCCACAAATGTATGGATTTATTTTTAGATTCCCATCACTCTCTGTGTGCCTATCCTTGAGCACAGCTTTTACCGGGTGATTCATGGAGGCTCTAATTTGTGTTTTCCTGATGACTAATGGCTGATTTAGAAGCTTTCTTCCTGTCCATTTCAGCCAACCCCTCACCTCTCGTCTCATTCAGGCGGGTTTTGGTGAGTTTCCACTGTAGATTAGCTTTAATTGTTCTAGAACTCTCTGTAAGAGTAATGACGCAGCTCCCATTCGCTTCTTGGGCATCTTTCACTCAGCGTATTTGACATTCATCTGCGCACTTTCTGTACTATTTCTAAGAATTATTATTACTATTATTATAAGGCAACATTCTTACATTTCAGTTTCTGGTTTTTTTTGTGTGCAAAATTCTAACCTGTTGTTTACATTTCTTATCCTGTTGACTAATCTGTGTGGTTATGGTTATCAGACTTCTTTTTGTGCCTATTTCTAGTTTTTGTCAGTTCTATATAATTTCCTTGTTATTTTTTCTTGATACCTGTGCCAGAGTCAAGGGTCATCTTCTTCTGTCTTTCTTTACTTAAAAAAAATCACTTTATTTTAAAGCACTTAAAAATAAAAATATGCAGTTAGATTAAGGTAGCTGTCCATACACTTGCCTGTCCCAAACGTCTGTCTTTTTCCTAAAATATTTGGATCTATTTTTCAGTGTGTGGGTGTTTTGTCTGGATGTATGTAAGTGTACCATGAAGCCCGAAGTGGGTGTCGGATCCTCTAGAACTGGAGTTCAGACAGTTGTAAGCCACCATGTGAGTGCTGGGAATTGAACCTGGATCCTCTGCAAGATCAGCAAATGCTCTAACCACAGAGCCATCTCTCTAACCTGTTTTCTTCTTTCTGTGCTCATAAATGCTGCCATCATTTTACTTCTGTCATGTAAAAGTTCTGTTTATTCAAACTCTAAATTTTATTCTTGCTTTGAATTAAAATACATAGAATACTTGCGAATTTCTGGAAAACTTGCCAGACTTATTCACATTAGGGAAAACATTCCTGACGGAAAAGGAAGTTCGTTCCTTCCCCACGCTGCTGGTTATTTGCTGTGTTTGACTTTGCAGATGACTCTGGAAACACTGGCTGTGAAGATACACATGTACTTCTCTGGTTACAAGAAAGAACGGAAATACAAAGAAAGAAACCAAAGTGAAGTTGGGCTTTCTGAAAATCTTTCTTTTATACAATCTGCAGATGCTGAAGTCATCTGTCTCTTCCTGGCTCCACCCACCCCACCCCTGCTAAGTAACCTACAGCTACAGAAGGACAGTTGAGTTCCTGGTAAAACCAGTTTTCCCACCTTTACACTGAGCTCTCTGTCCCGTTTCCGCCCCCCCCCCCGCCCCCCATGATGCTTGCCTTGGGCAACTGTCAAATTAATCGGAGGTCCTAGACTGCCTTTGTTGCCCCTGGCTCTTTACTGCTCTGTGCAGCCCTCACAAAGCCCAACCACAACCAAGTTAGAGTTCACTCAGGGCGTCAGAAACAAAAGCAAGAGTCTGCTAGGAGACACACTGTGTGGAAATGACACTGTTGTTAGAATTCCTCCCCATTCCTCCTGAGAGGAAGAAGTCAGGACACTCCCTCCTACTATGGTGGGGAAGGAATGAGTTTGCTAGACTGAGGGGTTAAGGGCAGGAGCATCAGAAACCTTAGAAGTTCTCAGCGAGGGTGGTGACTCCCCTGGCTGTGTATTGTGGAGTTCCGCTGCCCCCCCAATACGTCACACCTAGATACTGGACCCCAACCCCACAGAGTCACATGTTTGAACACGTGTTTGAGCCCTGGCTGGTGGCACTGTTTTGGGAAGTTATGTAACCCATTGGGAGGTGAGGTATGGTTGGGAGGGATGGATTTTGGGGGGTGGGTCTTTGAGGGGTAGGATCTGGCCCTACTTCCTGACTTGTTTCCTGTTTCCATCTACTTCACCCAACACTTCCACTGCCCCAGAGCCATTCTACCATGCCTGCCCCACAAAGAAAGACTGAAAGTTCTGAAACCATGAACCAAGACATTCCTTTTTACTCTTCTGTTGGACATTTTGTTATAGCAATGAGAAGAGCTAGCTGGTCTGATGAAGAAAACAAAATTAAGAATGAGACAAGAACAAATGAAAAACACCTAGGGAGTGTGAGAACTGGGGTAGGGCACGTAGGACTGAAACCTACTAACTATTCAAAAGTTCAAGGCTGTATGGCCATACCTTTCATTGTCCCCTGAGTCGCCTGGGCTATTAACCATTCTAATTTTTTACGTCTACAAATTCCTCATCACAGAAGCCACATATGTTCTACTGCTGCCTCCAGGTTTCTCTTCACAGATGTTCCTTGACAGCTGCACCTAACACGCCTTCTTTGGGGCTTTCTCCACCCCTCCAGCCCTGTGCACGTACTCACTTGAGGGATCCACTTTTCTCCAAGGTTTACTCTGTCTTCTATAAAGGTTTTCCGAAGACCAAGCTATTATTTATCTAGAGGACTGACAGGAAGTGCATGCAAATAAACAGATCAAATTCTTTATCTAAAGACTTTGACTTCTAGATCAGGGGACAGACTGTAACTGGGAGTGGAATGAGACGCAGACAACGGACAGTGTGTTCAGGTCGTCCGAAGTTAAGAAAGCTGCTCGGAGTTCTTCTGCTGGGAGTTGAAGGTTCAGAAGGATCCTAGTGGGTGGAAGAAAGTTCCAGGTTAAATGAGCTGTGTAAGAAATGCAAGGATTCTTGAAGATGATGAAAGGATTCATAGATGACTTGTGAATTAGGATGTAGGATGCAGATGATAGATTAGATAGAAAACAAGTCAGTATCTTGCCTGGGCCAAAATGGTTACACTGGAAAATGGCCAAGATGGTAAATTTTATGTATATTTCAGCATAATAAAACTATAAAAATAAAATGTTTCCTTAACTTCCTCTCCAGCCCAAGCAAGTACTGACCTGCTTTCTATTACTATAGATTGGTTCTGCCAAGTCCACATCATCTTGTAAATGGAAGTGTAAAAAAATTACCATAAATTTGAAAACGTTTCCTGCACTGTGTGCCAGTAACTGACCCTCTCAATACTGTATGTAGCTCATTGCATGGTGTAGACTTAGTTTGCCTATTTGTTGTTTTCTTGGCCGATAATTCAGTTGTGTGTGTTTAGGAAATATATTTAACTTAAAAAAAATTAGGTTGCCAACTTATTTACCACAAAACTGAAGTGAAGAGACAGATACAGAGAATAAATCATGGTAAGTAACACTGGAGTATCCCCTTGTCCCACGAAATAAGTCTACCTTAAAGTTTAGTCAATGCCAGAAACATAGTATGAGCAGGAGGACTATGGACTTCCCTAAGTTCTTCTTTCCCTCCCCTCCAATCCAGACTGCTAATTGCTGTCTCCCCAATGCTTCACCTGAGCACATGGCCATCTTTGAAAGGTTGCATTTCCTGGCTTCTCCTGCAGTTGTGTGTGACATGGGACTAAGTTCTGGAAAGTAGAGTAGGGGGAATGTGTTACAGTTGTAGTGTTGCAGAGATATCCTGACTTATTGGGAAGCCAGGATATTCTTAGAGCCGCATAGGACAGCTCAGCCCTGGAGGAAAGGTGTCCTGACTATTGGGAAGCCAGGCTATCTGAAGCTGCAGTGGGGAATAGTCTTCTGGCAGGATATAGGGATCCTGTTCTTCTCCTGGAGAGCAGCTACAGCTGAATTCTGCTCTGTTCCCTTAAGGGAAGGTGCTAGCAGAGTTCTCTGCTTCTTCTCCGTGTCCCAAGATGTGTCTTCTTTAGCTAACACTCTGCTAAAGGGGAAGCCCCTGCAGAAATGTAGCAATCTCCTCCGGCACTGGTGAAAAGTTACTTTTTTTTCTGGTTGGCCTTGCTCAGCCGGGCTTAAGGAACATAGTAGCAAGGTTCATCTGTTCTGCTCTACCTTACTCCCCTAAGGGACGTCCCAGCCAGATTCTTCTAGTCTGCCCAGGGAATGAAGATCATCACTCAAGTTTCTTTTCAGAAACTGATTTATTTGGAAAGGAGGAGTCCAGGAGAGTGGCTGCCTCTGCCAGGAAGAGATAAATGGCAGCCCTTAACTGAATGGGCAGAGAGGCGTATATAGAGCTTCTTAGGGGCAGAGTTTTCCCAGGGAGAAGGGGGATTGGTTAGTTTTTCCCTGCTCAGGGATCAGTCAGTTTAGCTGGTCAGGGGGCAGAGATGGCTCTGACTTCATGGCCAAACTGTGTTTCTTTCACTGGCCCTTTTTAGCTTTTTGACTCTATAATCTTAGGGCCAGGGCATATTTCTTTCACTGGCTCCGATTCTAGGGACAAAGTGTGTTTCTTCAACACTAGTTTCAGAGCCAGGGCACAGTCTGTAGTCCTGGGTTCAGGGATAAAGATGTTTCTCTCCCTGGCCCAGGTCTCACATACAGGGAGTGTTTCTTTCACTGACTCTGGGTTCAGAGTCAGAGTGCTCAGTGATTGGTTGGTTTCCTGCTCCAATTGTCCCTTTTACCCTACAAGTAGAATTTGAGTGGTGGTGCTTACGCAGTTCCAGGCCACAGAATGGACAGTCGTCCCCTTCCTCCATCTCTTCTCTTCTATCATGTCAGATATGTGGACATGCTGAATCCCTCTCAAACCCAACCACCCAAGTCCAATACCCAAGGGACGACAGAGCTACAAGTGATGAGGAACCCATATCTCTGTGTAAGGGGCAAGATTTCTATTTTGTTTGAGCTGCTATTAACTTGGTCTTTGCTCAGATCACCATCATCACCACCACCACCATCGTTATTAACATACTATTATTATATAACGATGGTGGTGGTGGTGGTGATAGATGAAGCAGCTTAGTTAAAGTCCGGAGGGAATTCACAATAGTAGGAGAGACTGAAACACACTCAGTAATTATGGCTCAGAGTAGATCTTGGTAGTGGCTTTATTTCAGATAAAACAAAGCCTGGAAAAAGAGATTTGATTATGGTTCTAGGAAAGAATGTCTAAATAAGGTGATAAGAGATTTGCACAATGAATCTAATTCTGATAATCAGAAGAAGATGGGTAAATGCATTAGAGAAACAGAAAATGTGAAGGCACCGAGACATGGAAGGACAAGGTGCAGTCAGAGAGTAACCAGCACAAAAGGCAGAACGTAAGGGAACGCAGAGAACGACAGTCCTCTTAAGTAAGGGTAAGAGTCTGACGGCCCTGGAATCTGGCCCAAGGAATCTGGTTCTGTGTAAGATGATTTGGGGTGTTGATGGAAGAGACTGTTTGGAGAGGGCAGAAAGTGGTCCTGAGTCGGGAAGGAGGTGAAAGCTGAAGGTGTGGGTCTGTGCGATGCACAGGGACAAAGTGTGTTTAGGAAGGAGGGAAGTGCAAAGTGAGCAGTGAGCCGAGGAGGAGACATCGAGTCACATCAGGGACCACAGGAAAGAGGTCCAAAGAGGTCCGAAGGAAACCGAGAAGTGACAGCACAGATCGGGAGAGTCCAAGGGGAGCCAGGAAAGTCATAAATGACGCCCAGTTTACTTTCAGTTAAAGCCAAGATTATTCTTTCATGACTCGCTGACCCTTTCCCAGGTTTTGTTTTAGAAACAATTCTCTCTAAGCATATATCACCTCTGACATTTCCTTTTGGATAGCTTTAGTGTGTTTCTCTTTCTCTGGGCACGTGACTCTGTTTACTGAGCTAGAATCTTCGGGTGAGTAGCAACCAGCTAGTGTGCTGCTAAGGGCTATGCACAGAGGTACTAACTTCGGTGCCCCCCCCCCCCCCCCCCCCCCCCCCGCTGCAGTCACAAATCTGAGATCCTTGATCCTTTCCTCAGGACTAGCCAGTGTCTCTCACCAACTCAACTCTCCAGGGCAAGCAACCTACTACTACTACTACTATTACTACTACTACTACTACTACTACTACTACTACAGGCAGAGGAAAGAGGTGTCATGGTTTCCCAGTCATGTCTCCTTTCCAATCTCCCAACTTTCTGTCTCTACCACAGTTCTTTCCTTGACAAAATCCCTCTGGAAATCAGTTAACACTGGGAATGTAGAACATTCCTGCTCACAGAGATAGCGGATCCCTGGCTCTCAGAGATAACAGATCCCCTGTTCTTAGAGACAACGGATCCCTGTTCGGAGATAGTGGATCCCCCGCTCTCAGTGATGGCAGAGCAGGGGGAGGTAAAGATGGCCCTGAGGGCAGCCAGCACTGACAGTACCCTTCAGTGGTCCTTGGTTCTACCAAGTTTATCGTTAGATAGCACAGGCCGTGCTTAGCACTTTAGTGAATCAATTTAGCTCACCCCCTCATCCCCGCACACATAAGACACTCTTGAAACCTTGCGAGGAAGTGTGACATTCTGAAATCTTCAGCCGTCAATGAAGCTAATGCCTGTGACTACATCCTTTCAATCAGTAAATTAAATAAGTAGTCTAGAAAAAGCATCTCAGATGAAGGTGAGTGGACAGCTCATCTTAAAAACAGCGTGTTCATAAAACAGAACAAGAGATGCTGACAAGAAATGCAGAGGAAAGCCAAAGACTAGGGCAATAAGTTTGAAATTATTTGATCCACTGGCATTCTTTTAAACCAAAGAAATAACTGGAGACCTTGGAGTCTCAGGATTATTGATCTCATCGCATTAGAAAGAAATTGAGGTGCTGGAGAGATGACTCAGTGGTTATGAGCACTGGCTGTTCTTGCAAAGGACATAGGCTTGGTTCCAAGCACCCACACAAGGTGGCTCATAACTATCTGTAACTCAAGTTGCAGAGGCTCTGATGTACTCTCTGACCTCTGGGGGCACCTACCTTTATGTGATGAACACACACAGGCACACTCAGGCACATACACTTACATGTAAAGTATTAAAAGTAGAGAAACCCCAAGAAAGACATGGACTTTTTGGAGGAATAAACAAGTGGTTCCCAGCACTAGTATGTTAGTGTTTCCTTTTGTTTTGCCCCATTTTCCAAATAATTAACCAGTACAGTCAGCCTTTCCCTAAAAGAGTATGAGGCAACATCAAAGAACCAGGCCCAGAATGCCAGTCACGGGGCTTCCCAATCAGTATTCTTTTAGATCAGAAAGTTCTGGAACTCAGTGACCTGAAGACACAAACATGCCAAGAGAATTATTGCTAGACGTAATGACCTTTGCCACACACACCCAGGTGGCTATTGCTACAATTAGACTCCCCTGAGCAGCAGGTTTTTGCCCCGTAAGTCACTGGCAAGATGGAATATGAGTACAGATCTTCTACTTTATACCCACTCGCTGGTTGCCAACACATCTGATTCTTCTCCTGTCACCTTGTCCCTTGAGTTTTTATTGGTTGTCAGAAGAGTGGACTGCTCATGATTATAAACTTGTCTGGCCAGCCAGAGCCAACCTTAGACTGGGAAATACGCCCATTGGTCCCCACAGTTTCCAGGGTTCCTTAGTCTTGCCCTCCATTCCTTGAAGCTGGGTGCCTTTCACCTGTGATGGAGGGATGCAGTGGCCCAGGGAAACCAATTGGTTGTCTCTAGAGTGGGCTTAGTCCCTCGGGTGTGCAACTCAAGGACTCCCTTCGCCTCCTTTCAGGCTCTCTTTCCCTTTTCCTGGTGGGAAAGGGGTAAGAGTGAGGGCTTTGCTTGTTCTAGCTTCGGTGCGTTCTTGGTCTCTGCTCTGTCACTGTTTCTGTGTTGTTGTGTGATGGAAAACACGCTGTCGGTTTCCAGCAAGAGCCCTCTGGGTTTAACTTTGAACAAGTGGACTGAAAACAGCTACAGTTCCATGACAAAGATGATGTTTTGAAATGGCGACACTTTCTAGCTCGGCGTGCAGGTCTGAAGAGGAAGGATTAGTAAAGGACCCCCTAACCACTGGAGTATTTTGCACTTAGACTTTTTCTGCCAGAAGGAAAGAAGAATAAAAAAGACGAGTTCCCTTATGCGAGAGGCTTCATGCTTCTCTATCAAGACAAGAAAGGTTAGATAATCAGGATTGTGTTATGTTCGGAGAGCAGGAAGGGAGAGTGGGTATTATGAGCCAGTAAAGTAGAGAGTGATGAAGGTGGAGTATTGGCTTAATCTGTTATCTTGGCCTCCCTGCCACACCTCCACATGCTACAGATGCATAGAATAAAGCACAGCTTATGTGGAAATGAGGTCTGAAGTGTGCTCTGAGATTTTCAGAACACTGGATAGGGTTTCTCCTCCCTGGACCCAACAAGGAACAAAATTCAAAGGTGCTGCACCGGAAAGAGGCAATTTTCTGTGTTCCCGTCCCCAGCAGGAGCAAATGCGCACAGATAAGCAGTTGAATATGAATGTGAGTACAAACTCACTGTCTACTTCTGATTGGTTTAACTGGAATAACCACCTTCCATACTGACAGGACCCTGCACAAATGACTAAGCTCCTTTCATCTTTTTTTTTTGGTACATAAAAATTTATCATCAATATTTGTCCTTCACATCAGTCTGGAGACAATGTACACACTGAAGCTCTAACCAGTTTACCCATAAAGCCCTAAATGACAGCGCTCAAGGGATTTAATCAAGAGGGAAGAAGCATCATGAGGAGAGCTGTTCTCCAAAACTGAATGGCATTAGGCATTGCAACTGCGGCTCAGCGAGGGACTGTGTGACTGTGATGGCTGTTCTTGGTTGTCAACTTGACTACATCTGGAACTAACTAGAACTCCAAGATGGAGGACACACCTGTGAGGGAGCTTTGTTTAATTAAAGTGGGAAGAGCCACTTCTGAGGAAGACACTGTACCTTTAATACAGATTATTTGATCTGGGAAAACCCACCTCTAATCTGGGCCACATCTTCTGCTGGAAGCCTCTATAAGGACATGGGAAAAGGGAGTTTTTGCTCTTTGCCTACTTGTTCTTGCCTTGCTAGCAAGTCCATTCTTTCACAGCATTAGAGCCTGCTTCTTTGGGCTTCCAGCATCTACTGAAGACCAGCTGAGACATTCAGCCTCATAGACTGAGCAACTACTGGGTTCTTGGACTTTCCATTTACAGCCAGCCCATGTTGGGTTAGGTGACCCACAGCTGGTAAATCATTCTAAGAAATCTTCCCCTCTGCTTCTGTCTTTCTCTCTCTCTCTCTCTCTCTCTCTCTCTCTCTCTCTCTCTCTCTCTCTGAAAGAGAGATTCATTCTATAAGTTCTGTTACTCTAGGGAACTATGATTATTGCAGTGACTATATTGAAGTTGAATGTTATGTGTATATTCTAGACAACTCAGAAAAAATGTCTTTTTAGTCCAGTAGGGAATATACACCCAAGACAAGGACATAGCTGATGACTCCACTTTTAGCCAAGTGGACGGTTTAAGTCACGGTTTGGGGGACACTCTTATTGGGTCAGTCTGATGTTTACTGTGGGATGCACTGTTGGGGTGGGAAGATGTCCTCCCCAAGGACAGAATTAAACAAAACATAAAAGGAGACCAATGGCATAAGACGTTAGAAACACAGAGAACTTGTCCTCTAATTGTTTTGATTGGCAGGTCTCTTTGTACTACACACTGAGACTCCCTTGTTACATTCCTGTCTAGCAGAAGAAGCTTCTCTGCCTTCTCAAAAACACACTGCCAGTGGGGGATGGAACGTAAGTGGGATAACTCACACTGGGCACTAATAAGTCTGTTAGTGAAGCCCATGAGTGGGTTAGCTCCCCCTAGCTCTAGTAAGTCTGTGTTAGTGAAGCCCATGAGTGGGTTAGCTCCCACTAACGTTAGTAAGTCTGTTAGTGAAGCCCATGAGTGGGTTAGCTCCCCCTAGCACTAGTAAGTCTGTTAGTGAAGCCCATGAGTGGGTTAGCTCCCCCTAGCACTAGTAAGTCTGTGGTTTACTTTGTTTTCCTCTGTCTCACTCTCAAAATAATCAATGGATGTGGTCATCCGTGACTGAAAAGAATGAAAGCAAACACGAAGGCACATCCATCATGTGACCTCCTAACCAGTAGACTTTCAGGATTTTATTACAAAACCGAGTGACCATTTGCAGTGCTCACCTGACTGTGGCTGAAACTGGACTCCCCGGCGACCCCACACAAGATTTTAGACTTGAGGTCTGTGGAAAGAAGGAATTAGGGTGAAAGCCTCTATTTTCCACCTGTCAGTTTGTCACAAATAAAATCTGCCCTTCTGTCACCAGCTCCATCCAGTACCAGAATTGGGGCCTTCACAGTTCGGGCTCCACCTTGTGGTCTGATGTATATTTGTAAATTTTCCTGGTTGGCAACTAAAACACATGGAATAGTAAGTAGGAAATAAGGGCTTATTTCTTTTAGCAATTTTAAATGAGGTGGGATTGAGATAGCACAGCTAATTTATATAAATGTATCCCCAAAGGAAATCTAAGTGATGGAATAATTGACGATGCCCATGGTCATTAAGTCAACATTTCTGTAGAACACAGAAGAGCGGATCAGTAAGAAGGATGCTTTGGTATCTACACACAAGATTAACAAATGAGTTTGTGAAAAACCCACAGCAGAAAAATCAGCACCATTTGAGTAAATGAACAAATCTACTGTTCTCGCCAACATTCTTAAAACAGAAATTTCAAATCACTGTTCCTCCGTATCGTGAATATTGACTTACTGTCAGAATTATAATTTTTTTGAAAAAGAAAAAAATATGAGAATTTAAAAAAGTAAACGAGACGTTTTGCTTTCTCATCCAGGATGCCATGGGAGCCTGGAGAGATGGCTCAGCAGTTAGAACTCTTGTTACTCTCGCAGACAAGGCGCCCATACACATAAGATAAAAGAAAAAGAGCAGCGGCAGAGCAAGTGTGGTGGAAGGAGGCTGTGGCCTAAGGGTGCTTCTCCATCCTCCACGGCTTGACCGTGTACCTCTGCGGGGCTAGAGCCTCATTGGTCATCTTAGCCAGTGGGAGGTTATCCCCCAAACCAGGTATTGTATGAGATTGACTCATACAAAGTAAGTCAATTCATAGAAAGGCAGGATTGCAATCTTCTGATGCTCACTTAAATCATTTGGACTCTCTCATCCCAACAGTGGCATTTGTTTAATAAGCTCAAGGCAGAGAGCTCACTTGAGAGCCCATAATAAGCTTGGTGACCACCTGATTACACAGCACTAACCACACCAGTAACTCTTATGGTATAGACAATGTTTAGGTAGAGATTGTCATTTACAATATTGCTGTATAGTTTATATGTTCCATATATTTCCTTCAATACTTGATTCTCATAAGAGCTATAGCAAGTAATGGGTATGGTATTAACATTATTAAGCCTCATTTACTAATTTTTAAAATTTAATTTTCCAGCTCAATCACAGTTTCCCCTCCCTCCTCTCTTCCCAGTCTCTGCTCTTCAATCTCCACTATGCCCCCATCTACTCCTCGCCCTTTCTCTTCACAAAAGGGCAACTCTTCATGTATATCAGCTGGCCATGTTATATCAAGTTGCAGTAAGACAAGGCACCACCTCCCTTATTAATGCTGGGCAAGGCAACACACAGGAGGGAAGGGTCCCAAAAGTAGGTAACAGAAATCAGAGACATCTTCCCACTGTGAGGAGCCCCACAAGACCAAGCTACACAATATATGTGCAGCAGGCCTAGGAAAGTCCCATACAGGCTCCCTAGTTGTTGACTCAGATGCTGTGAGCCACCTATGAACCCAGGTTAACTGATTCTATGGGGTTTCTAGTGGTGTCCTTGACCCTTCTGGCTCCCACAATCCTCCCCCCTCCTTTCAGGAGTTGCTGAGCTCTACCTTATGTGTGGCCGTGGGTCTCTGTGTCTATTTCCATCAGTTGCTGGGTGAAGCATCTCTGATGACAATGGGCTAGCAATAATCTGTGAGTATAGCAGAGTATCATTAGGAATCATTTCATTGACTCTTCTTTATTAACAGTCATGTTCAGACTGGCCAGGCAGGATAGTCTTTGGGTTGCTCAGCCTCTGGGCCCTGACGCTCCAGGAAGTGTCAGGGGTAGGCTTCCTATCATGGTATGGGTCTCAAGCTGGAGCAGTCATTGGTTGGCTACTCCTATAATGTCTGTGCTATCTTATTCCAGCACATCTTGTAAGCAGGGAAAATTGTAGATTGAAGAATTTGTGATTGGGATGGTGTCCCAGTCCCTCCACTGGAAGTCTTTCCAGGTTACAGGAGATGGCAGGTTCAGGCTTCTTATGCCCCTATTGTTAGGAGTCTTAGCTAGAGTCACCTTCCTAGGACTCTGGGAGTTTCCATTGGACTAGGCTTCTTGCTTATTCCAGAGATGCCCCTTAATACCAGTTGTCTTTCCCAGTATTCTCTCTCTCCATCTTTCCCCACCCAACTTCTTCTGTTCCCATGCCCACTTCCCACACAGACCACTCCCTCTATTCACCTGTGATGTATATTCTATTTCCTCTTTACAGTGAGATTCATGTGTTCCCCCCATGAACTCTTCTTGGTACTTAGCTTCTTTGAGTCTGTGGATTATAGCATGGTTATCCTTTATTTTACAGCTAATATCCACTTATGAATGAGTACATACCATTTTTGTCTTTCTGGGTCTGAATTACCGCACTCAGAATGATCTTTTCTAGCTCCATCCATTTGTCTGAAAATTTCATTTTCATTGTTTTTAACAGCTGAGTAATACTGCATTGTGAAAATACACCACATTTTCTTTGCCAGTTCTTTGGTTGATGGACATCTAGGTTGTTTCTGGTTTCTGGCTATCATGAATAAAGCTGCCAAGAATATGGTTGGGCAAATGTCCTTGTCATATGGTAGAGCATCCTTTGGGTATATGTCCACGAGTGGTAGAGCTGGGTTTTGAGGTAGATAGATTCCCAATTTTCTGAGATACTACCATATTGACTTCCAAAGTGGCTGTACAAGTTTGCACTCCTATCAGGAGTGGAGAAGTGTTCCCCTTGCTCCATATCCTCACCAGCATGAGCTATCACTTGTGTTTGGTCTTAACCATTCTGACAGGTCTAAAATGGAATCTCAGAGTCATTTTGATCTGCATTTCTCCGAGAGTTAAGGATGTTGAACATTTCTTTAAGTGATTCTTGGCCATTTGATATTTCTCTGTTGAGAATTCTCTGTTTAAATCTGTACCCCATTTATAAATTGGATTATTTGGTTTGTTGATGTTTAGTTTTTTTTTGAGTTCTTTATACATTTTGGCAATCAGCCCTCTGTCAGATGTGGGATTGGAAAAGATATTTTCTCATTCTGTAGGCTACCCTTTTGTCCTTTTGACAGTGTCCTTTGCCTTACAGAAGCTTTTCAGTTTCATGAGGTCCCATTTATTAGTTGTTGATCTTAGTGCCTGTGTGGTTGGTGTTCTGTTCAGGAAGTTTCTTATGCCAATGTGTTCAAGGCTATTTCTCACTTTCTCTTCTATCAGGTTTAGTGTATCTGGCTTTATGTTGAGGTCTTTGATCTACTTGGTTTTGAGTTTTGTGCAGGGTGATACATATGGATCTATTTGTACCCTTCTACTGATGGCATTCAGTTCAATCAGCTGAAGAAGCTTTCTTTTTTCCATTGCATATTTCTGACTTCTTTATCTAAAATCGGGTGTCCATATGTATATGAATTTACATCTGGGTCTTTGGTTCCGTTCCATTGGTGAACTGTGTTTTTATGCCAATACCATGTGGTTTTATTACTATAGCTCTGTGGTACAGTTTAAAATAAGGGATGGTAGCCAGGCGGTGGTGGCGCACGCCTTTAATCCCAGCACTTGGGAGGCAGAGGCAGGCGGATCTCTGTGAGTTCGAGGCCAGCCTGGTCTACAAAGGGAGTTCCAGGACAGGCTCCAATGCTACAGAGAAACCCTGTCTCGAAATTTAAAAAAAAATAAGGGATGGTGATACCTCAGACAGTTATTTTATTGTACAGGATTATTTTAGTTATTGTTTTTTTTTTCATATGAAGTTGAGTATTGTATTTTCAAGGTCCGTAAAGAATTGTGTTGGAATTTTGATGGGGATTGCATTAAATCTGTAGATTGTTTTTGTTAAGATGACCATTTTTGCTATTTTAATCCTACCAATCCATGAGCAAGGGAGATCTTTCCATCTTCTGATATCTTCTTCAGTTGCTTTCGTCAAGGATTTTAAAGTTATTGTCATACAGGTCTTTCATTTGCTTGGTTAGAGTTACACCAAGGATTTTATATTATTTGTGACTATTGTGAAGGGTACTGTTTCCTTAATTTCTTTTTCAGCCTATTTATCATTTGTATACAGAGAGGCTGCTGATTTTTTTTTAGTTAATTTTGTATCCAGCCAATTCATTGAAGGTGTTTATCAGCTGTAGGAGTCCCTAGTAGAATTTTTTTGGGTCACTTATGTATACTATTATATCATCTGCAAATAGCAAAAGTTTGGCTTCTTCCTTTCTATTTTATATCCCCTCAGTCTCCCTTTGTTGTCTTATTTCTTTAGCTAGAATTCCAAGTACTATATTGAATTGATATGGAGAGAGTGGACAGAATTGTCTTGTTCCTGATTTTAGTGGAATTGCTTTGAGCTTCTCTCCATTTACTTTGATGTTGACTGTTAGTTTGCTGTATATTTCCTTCATTATTTTTCATAGTGTCCCAGATTTCCTGGATGTTTCATGTTAAGAATATATTAGATTTAACATTTTCTTTGGCCAATGATTCTATTTCTTCTATTGTATCTTCAATGTCTGAGATTCTTCCGTTTCTTGTATTCTATTGGTGATGCTTGCATCTGTAGTTCCTGTTCTCTTTCCCAGATTTTCCATTTCCAGAATTTCCTGTTTGTGTTTTCTTTATTGCTTCTTTCCCCATTTTTAGGTCTTGAATATTTTCCTTCACCTGTTTTTATTTTTTCCTTGACTTTCTTGGCATTCTTTAAGAGATTTATTTCTTCCAATGTTTTGTTTGTCTTTCCCTCAATTTCCTTAAGGGATTTTTCTTTTCATTTCTCTTTAAGGACCTCTATCATCTTCATAAAGTTATTTATAAGGTCATTGTAAGCCCGTCTTTGGCCTCCATCTTTGGAGGCCCCATCCCTGGGCCCGCCAAGTCTTGACCTCTCCTGGAGGAAGGTCAAGATGAGCCCACCAAAATCTTGACCATGCCCTGAGTCTATTTAAACTGCTTCCCTGGAAAGTTTCCTCATGGTCCCTTTTCTTCTTCCCTGGTGGTCATGTTAGCAGCCTACCGGTTCCCCCTTGGGACACCTGAGAGGGCTGGAATCCCATTAAACCTGGGTATTTTTTAATTTGGCTTGTTGTGATTTGGCTTGATTGCGATTTTTGCATCGACAAAGAGCTTGCGTTAGGAAAAATTCCTAACATTTTCTTGTGCTTTAGCTGTGTAGGAATGTTCAGCTTTTGTCGTCAGATAGCTGGGCTCTAGTGGTGACATATTGCCTTTCTGTTGATTCTGTTCTTACACTGAGGCTTAGGCATCTGGGTTTGGGATGATTATAGGTCTAAGTGTTGATTCCTGAGTTTGTCATTGTTTTGTTTCTTGGTTTCTGCTTCCTTTCTTGTCCTCTGGTCTAAGTAGTCAGGGGTTCTGGGACTGGTGAGTCTTCAGGTCCACTAGGGTGTTCACCACCGGGGTTTTGAATGCCAACTTTGCCTCTGCAGTTCCTGTGTGGCCTCTGGGATCCTGGGTATCTACTTGGTCTCTGGGATTCCTAGTACGGGGTGGCCTCCAGTAAGACAGAAGTTTTCTGCTGAAGTTTTGGGTTGGGATATGGGGCTCAGGGAATGGGATGCAGTTGAAGGTTGTTGGGCCAGATTTAGGGAGTGTTAATTGGCAGTGGGTGGTGTGTTACCTGGGTCCCTAGGACCAGCCTGGCCTTTGGGAAAGCAGCACAAAGCAGCTGGAGTTGTGTACTGGAATATGAAGCCTAGGGAGCGGGTGCTGTTGGGTGGAATTTTAGGAGTGTTAGTGAGTGGTGGGCAGAGTCTTACCTTGGGTCTTTAGAACCATTCTGGCCTTGGGGTAAAGCACTAGTCTGCCAAAGTTGTGGGCAGGATTTGGAGCCTGGGGGAGAGGGTGTGTCTAGGGCTGTTGGGCGGGCTTTAAGGAGTGCAATTTGGTGGGTGGTATGTTGTCCGGAGTCCTTAGGACTAGCCTGGCCTTCTGTAAAGCAACTGGAGTTGTAGGCCCAGAATATGGAGCCCAGGGGAATGGGTCATTTATTTATTTTTTTAACGGGTTCACATTTTGAGAGCCTTTGGTTTACATGGTCAATCCTGGGTTCAGGAGTTTCCGTTCATCACGGCATGGAGTGTGCAATGAGCAGAGCAGTCCATACCTTGCAGTGATAGCCAGAAAACAGACAGAATATCCTGCTGCCAGGCTTTTTCCTGCGCTCCTAGCAGTCCATTTTGGCTCCTGGCCCATAGAGGGTACTGCCTGCATTCAGGGAAGTCTGCTCTCACTCTAGTGAAGCTGGTCTGGAAACACTCTCACAGTCACACCCAGAGGTGTGCTTGAGTAATCTAGGTACTTCTGAATCCAACTAGGTTTATATCTCTGATCAACCTTCACTCTTGATGAGCATCAGGGATTGGGGGTGGTGGGAGATTTGAGAAGAGTCCTGAGTGTATTCATGGCAGGGGAATTAGGATACTATGATGGTGCCATGTGCATTATATGGGTACACTTTCATGTGCTCACTAAGAAACTGTCTCTGCAAGTGAAGATTATGTTTGGTTGACGATCGCCCACCCCCGCACCCCCCCGTTTTAAGAGAGCCTGCAGTAGGAACGAGAAGTCGGAAGTTCAGCCATGGGAGCTCATCCACAGAGAGAACGTGTATCAGCAACTTCAGCTGACCACCTCAGCTTCCCCAGTTGGTTTCAAGCTCCCAATTTGATGATGTTACTCCTATCTGTGGCTAATTGTTCCTTTATATGGAGGCTTTACCCAATGGGCAATTCCACCATGCCAGAGACTCTCACTGGGGAACTTCAGCCGGCTGCCATAACGGGGCTGCTACAGTGAATTTCTTTCTGCTGGCTGCTTTGAGCTACTAATTTGATTATGTTTTGCTATTTATCCATCCATCCATCCATTCATCCATCCATCCATCCAACCCATCCACTTGCTATTTATTCTTTTACTTTGGCTTCCTATATACTTACTAAACCTTCAGTCAAAACCCAAAGTTTGGTTATTATAGATCATTGTCTGGACAGTACAGAACACTGTTAAACATTTTCTAAACTCCCAGAATCTGTAACATCAAGACACACTCTAATGTAGCCTATGGAATTTGGTACATAACAATGTTTCTGGTGGGGAGGAACCAGAGTTGTTTTTTTTTTTTTTTTTTTTTTTTTTTTTTTTTTTTTTTTTTTTTTTTTTTTTTTTTTTTTTTTT